AAAAAAAAAAAGAGTCTCACTTTCCTGCCTAGGCTGGCTTTGAGCCACAATTCTCAGATCTCAGCCTCCTGAGGCACTAGGATCACAGGCATGAGCTACCAGCACCTGGCTAGCCCTTTTGTTTTTAACTTTTTGTTTCTGAGATAGTCTTATTAACTTTGCCCAAGCAGAACTCCAACTTGAGATCTTTCTATCCCTACTTTCATAGTAGCTGGGCTACAAACAGCATCACCATATCCAGCTTCCATAAAACATTTATTCAGTAGGGGAAAAAGTAAAAAGTTCAGTTTGAAATAAATGTGGAATGTGACTTCATGAATCTCATTTTCTTTTTTCTTTGGTCGGTTGTGAGGGCCTGAACTCTGGGCCTGGGCGCTGTCCCTCAGCTCTTCAGCTTAAGGCTAGTACTCTACCACTTGAACCATAGTGCCACTTCTGGCTTTTTCTGCTTATGTGATGCTGAGGAGTTGAACCCAGGGCATGTAAGGCAAGCACTCTACCACTGAGCCACCTTCTCAGCCCCCAAATCTCTTTTTTTAGGGAACATTCTTTTTTCTTTTTTATCTTTAAGTAGTTGAACAAAAAAATTCCCTTTCTAGGGCTGGGAAGGTGGCTCAGTGGTAGAGCGTTAGTATATGAACACAGTATATGAATACAAGATGTCTGACAACATTGTCACCCACTGCTCCTAACTCATCCTTTCTCTCATTTTTTTTAAAAAATTGAGATTAGGTGATTACACAAATTTCACATATATCACAGTATTGTGGAATAGTGATACTTAGTTAAAGTCACAAACACATTTTTAACATTCACAAGGTACATTGTCATTATCATGGTCTATATCGTTTGTGAATTCTATAAGCTTTGACAATACAAATGATTTTTTCCACATCAAGTGATGTTTACATTTCTTTCCTTTTGTTTAGTATAGGCTGTTCCTTCTTTTAGGGAACATTCTTTAATTAAATTAGGTCAGTCACCTGGCACTGGTTACTCACTCCTGTAATCCTAGCTTTTCAGCAGACTGAGGTCTGAGGATCACAGTTCAAAGCCGCCCAGCAGGAAAGTCTGTGGGACTTTTCTTTTCTTTTTCCCAGGGCTGAGGACCTAACCCAGGGCCTTACGCGCACCCACCGGGCGGGTGCCCTTCCGCTGGGTTAAACCCCCAGCCCCTCTGTGAGACTCTTATCTCCAATTAACCACCAGAAAACCAGAAATGGTACTGTGGCTCAAAGTGGTAGGGCATTAGCCTTGAGTAAAAAGCTCCAGGACAGTGCCCAGGCCCTGAATTCAAGCCCCTCAACCGATCCTGCCCCCCCCAAAAAAGTAGGACATTCTTAAACTCAAAATCCTCTTTTTTGGCCTCAGCCTTCTGAGTGCTAGGATTACAAGACGTGCATCCAACACCCACATTTTAGGTTCATTTCTGATGCCTAATCTGACTAACAAAATATTCTCACAAACTATGTTGAAAATAAACTATACAACTTGTGGGTTAGGATGAGAGAGAAAAACTGTGAGAGAGGGAAGAGGTGACATTGTCCAAAAAAAGAAATGTACTTTTTACCTGACTTAAGTAACTATAACTCCTCTGTACATCACCCTTATAATAACAATTTAAAAAATTGTTAAATGTTGTCACAAAAGAAAGACATAAGGGAGAGAGGGAATATTTTCCTAAGAAAATATATTAAACCACTGGAATGAAACTTTTCCATGTGCTATGCTTTTAATTTTTTAATTTAATATTTTTGTTGTTGTTGTTGGTCATGAGGCTTGAAATCTGGGCCTGAATGCTGTTCCTCAGATCTTCGGCTTAAGGTGAGAGCTCTACCACTTTAAGCCACAGCAACACTTCCAGTTCTATAGTGGTTTATTGGAGATAAGGGTCTCAGACTTTCCTGCCCAGGCTGGCTTTGAACCACGATTCTCAGATCTCAGCCTCCTGAGTAGCTAGATTACAGGCATGAGCCATCGGCACCCCACTTTTAATTGTTTTATTACTGCATAGAATAATAAATTTAAAATATATTTAAAATGGTATAATCCCAATAGGAGTTCAAACTGCATTTTGTGGTTCAAACTGGATTTTGTTTTACATTTAAAATTAAAATTAAAATTTTCAAAAAAGAGGCAAAAGTATAAAAAGCAAGACAGTGACCAGTAATACTTTTTATATTTTTCAAACTTTTCTTTCTCAGGCCCAGTATAAGAGGAGCTAGGAAATTCTGTTTTAAGATTATAGTTACCTGACACTGGTGGCTCATGCCTGTATTCCTAGCTACTGCCAGTCTGGGCCGAAAAGTCCCATGAGAAGCTTATCTCCAATTAACCTCTCAAAAACCAGAAATGGAACTGTGGGTTAAAGTGGTAGAGTGCTAGCCTTGAGCAAGAGAGCTCAGGGACAGTGCCCATGTCTTGAGTTCAAGCTCCTCAAGCGACAAAGAAAAAAAATATATAGTTTTACTGGCTGCTGGTAGCTCAAACCTATAATCCTAGCTACTCAGGAGGTTGAGATGTAAGGATCAAGGTTCAAAGTCAGCCTAGATAGAAAAGTCTGTGAGACTCAAGCACCAAAGAAGCTGGAAAAAGAATTGTGGCTCAAGTGGTAGAGTGCTAGCCTTGAGCACAAAAGCTCAGGGACAGTAGCCAGGCCCTGAGTTCAAACCCCAGAACCAGCAAAAAAACAAAGAAAAAACTTACAGTTTCAAAATCTAGTTATAATCTAGTTCCCCCCACCAGTATAAATACCCAACTGACACTGAAATAAAGGGTAAGAAAGCCCTTAGGAGAAATAGCACAGCCATGCTAGCTGTCAACATTTCAACTGCTGAGCACTGCTCTGTGTGCTAAAAGGTATACAAAAATATTTGAAGAAAAGGAATTTATTTGATTGAGAAAAAAATTAAAATTAAGCTGGAACACTACAGAATATGTGAACTATAAAATTTTAGGGAAAAATAAGGAGATCTTGTTGTACATAGGCTATATCAATACAATTTCTTGGGAAAGGGACCTAAAACAAGACCCCAAATACTTTACTTATTCTGAATAATGTCATAATGGCTTTAAAACAGTAACAAAATCTCTTTAGTCATACAACTATCCCAGAGAGAAATTAATAGAAATCCAGCCTTTCAGGCTCTTCATGAACTACAGGAAGATGCTGACTATACCTACAACTAAGTAGTAGAGCTGAAAGGTGGAGATCCAGTCTGACATCCATCCCCCTACTCCTCTAAATAAATGCAGGGAAACCTCTGAAACCACTAAATGCTCCCAAATTGCTTCATTATTTTGTCAACATGGCTCTCATCATCAACTTTTACTTCCTTCAGTTTTCATTGCAGCTCTAGTCAGGACTGCCTAGTCCTTGAATCTTATTACGTCACATAGTTAAATATACTTCCCTACACTATCCTGATATAAACTCACAATGACTAGAAGATATAAATTAATTTTTACCATTAGTAATCTTCTTAACCTCTCTTTCTTTTCTTTTTTTTTTGTTTTTTTTTGGGGGGTCCGGTCGTGGGGCCTGAACTGTGGGCCTGGACGCTGTCCCTCAGCTCTTCAGCTCAAGGCTAGCACTCTACCACTTGAGCCACAGCGCCACTTCCAGCTTTTTTCTTTTTGCTTATGTGGTGCTGAGGAATCGAACCCAGGGCCTCAGGCATGCAAGGCAAGCACTCTATCACTGAGCCACCTTCCCAGCCCCTTAACCTCTCTTTCATTCCATTTCTAAATCTTACCATTCAAAAAGTCTCAGCTACCTTACAAAAGATAGATGTGAACATGTGCATACATACACATGAACATAAAGGCATATATGTCCAAAATGCCATATTTGTTGTCCAGGACATACCTCTTCATTTAATACTTAAAGAATTCTAAGACACAAGAACTCAGAAGTCAGAGACAAAGATAACTAATACGCACATCACCCAACTTGAGGCAGGTGCCCAAACTGTGGATGACATCCTCTGCCAAGTCTGAATGGTCTGAGTCCCAGACCAGCCCAATTGTGATAATCTGTGGAGCATTCATCAACACACGACGAATCCGGATCCTCTCTCCACAGTTACTCTGAAATACATACATAATGCTAGTTCAGTATGTTTCCCAATGCTTCTGCCTCAGTTTTCCTAAGCCAAGGTTTTCCTCTCCCTTACCTCCAGTTAATTAACTCACCGGACAGTTCCGCAGGTCCCCCATGGTGCTGGCATTCTGAAGTAGCTCACCAAACATGCTTGGTGAAGGTTTTTCTCGTCTTTCCAGCATACAAATAGCCTGATTGCTTCAAAACAGGGAAAGAGGGGGATGATGGTGGGAGTTGTACTGAATTATAGCTAAACCAAAGAAATTATTTATGCCAGGTGCCAGTAATCACCTGCTTAATACCTATAATCCCTTCTACTTAGGAGGACTGAAATTCAAAGCTAGCAGGGGTAAAAAGTTCAAGAGATCCCATCTCTACCAATAGTTGGTTAAGTGGGTGGGCACCTGCCAACCTATATATGAGGAAGACTAAGGCTGGATGTGGTTCTCAGCCATCCAGAACAAAAATAGAGACCCTATCTGAAAAATAACCATAGCAAAAATGGCTGGAGGTAGTCAGGTGCCAGTGGCTCATCCTTATAACCTTATCTACTTAGAAAGCTGAGATCTAAGGATCACAGTTTAAAGCCTGGACAGACAAATTTGAAAAACTCTTTAACTCCCAATTAAAACTGTAGATGTGGCTCAAGTGGTAGAGCTCAAAGTCAAGTGAGAGCAAGAGGCCCTAAGTTCAAGCCTCAGTACCAGCACAAAAAACAGGCTGGAATAGGCCAAGTATAGAATGTCTTCCCAGTACGCATGAAGCCCTGAGTTCATACCCAGTACTTCCAAAAAGGAAAATTAATTTATGCAAACTTCTCACATTTGATTTTCTTCCTTGGACCACTGTACCACCTCTTGTCCTGACCAGCCACAAACACAATGAGTGCCTCTACCTGTCCCAAAATCCAAAGCTCATAGAATCCCCATTTCTCCTCCCACTTTGCTGGCCAGAACTAAGCCTAAGAAAAGGGGAGGGATAAGAGAGGAAAAAAAGGAAAACAATGGTTATTTTTAAATTATTGTTCTAAGATCCTGTAAAAAGCACAAACATGGCAAAAAGGATGTACTATATGGTAAAATCCAATCAACTGGAGGAATACCTAATGGTACAAGTGAGACTCACCAAAGAGAAGTAGTAGAGATGTAATGCACCATCTGGATGAAAGGCAGTGGATCAGAAGTGGCACCACAGCTTGTACATACACACTGGGCCAAGAAGAAAAAGAAACAATAAGCAACCACAGTTACGAACTATTTTGGAAGCCACTTTACATCCCACATCTCAAGATAAAGTGCTCCTAAAGAACAAGTCTAAGAAGAGATAGGGATAAAGATAAGGTTCACCTGTTCAAATAATGTCATTGCAAATTTCTGGTGAGAAATGCAGTGTTGGGCAGTACATATGTCCTCTTTGGTTTCATCAGCAATGTGGAAATGAATTCTCATCAGGAGGTTTTCCTGACAGGAAAAAAACAAAAGCAGAGCACCAATAACACTTAACAGAAAAATGGACAAACTGATAAGCACTTCACTCAAAGAAATAGCAGTCCTTCTGGAACAGAATAACTCTAAACTTTTGTAAAAAATATAAAAAATAAAAATAAAGGGGATGGGAAGGTGATTCAGTGGTAGAGTGCTTGCCTCGCATGCATGAGGGCCCTGGATTTGATTCATCAACATAACATAAACAAAAAAGCTGGAAGTGATGCTGTGGCTCAAGTGGTAGAGTGCTAGCCTTGAGCTGAAGAGCTCAGAGACAGTGCCCAGGCCCAGAGTTCAAGTCCCACAACCGACAAAAACCAAAATTAAAAATAAATAAATAAACAATATCAAAACCAGGAAATGGACATTAGGATAATCTACCAATTTTATTTGAACTTGTATGTGGGGGTGTGGCTCTGCAATTTTATCATGTGTGTAGTCATGTAACAATCAAGATGCAGTAGAGTTCCTTCACCATAGAACTCCATCAGACCAATCACATTTCTTAAACATAGCAACCACTAACCTTCTCTCTTATCAGTTTTGCTATTTCAAGAACATTCTAAGGCTGGGAATATGGCTGAGTAGTAGAGTGCTTGCCTAGCATCCATGAATTCCTGGGTTCGATTCCACGTACCACATAAAAAGAAAAAGCTGGAAGTGCACTGTGGATCAAGTGGTGGAGTGCATGCCAGCCTTGAGCAAAAGAAACTTAGGGACGGTACCCAGACCCTGAGTTCAAGCCTCAGGACTGGCTTTAAAAAAAAAAAAGAGCATTCTATACATGGGATTATACAGTACATAGGGCTTTGCACTCTCACTTGGCTTTCTCGCTAACAACTGGCACTCTACCACTTGAGCCACATCGCCAATCTGGCATTTTACTAGCTAATTGGAGATGAGGCCCTGAGTTCGATTCCTCAGTACCACATAAGCAAAAAGAAAAAAGCCAGAAGTGGCGCTGTGGCTCAAGTGGTGAGCACTAGCCTTGAGTTGAAGAGCTGAGGGACAGCGCCCAGGCCCAGAGTTCTAGCCCCACGACCGGACCCAAAAAAAAAAAAAAATGAATCTCATGGACTTTCCTGCCCATGCTGGCTTCAACCCACAATCCTTAGATCTTAGCCTCCTGAGTAGCTAGGACTACAATCATTTGGCACTCTCATGTATTTGTAATGGTTGCAAAGAAAGTCTTTTAAACATTGATGAACAGAATAGGAAGTTAGAAAAGTTAGGATATTACAGTCATGAGTATGACTTAACTGTCTATCAATAGCATCATCATATTCTCTGTTTAATATCTTAGAAATGGAAAAGTCCAAAAAGTGTGGTCTCCAGACTAGCACCATTAGTATTAGTATTATCTAGGTACTTGCTAGAGATGGATAATCTTGTGCTCTAAGTGTAGAGTCTAGCAATTGGTATTTTAATAAAGATTTGGCTCCTTGAAGGCAAGGACCACAGTTTTATGAAATTATAAGCACCAAACTACCCAAAATCAGATGGAAAAACAATAAACCCACTAGATAATACACTGTAAAAGTAGGAATACTCTAGAGCTCTAAGAAACTGGAAAAACTCCTACTTTTAACTATGGAGATCAGGCACAATAAACTCCATATAAAGTAGTCAGTGTCTGACAGAGAAAATCAAAAAGTCCCAACTCATATCAAAGAAGACCAAAGGCCAGAACTTACAAAGCATTCTGCAGCATCATCCATAATTCCCAGCTGGAAACGCTGTTCATCCTGGAAAGTCTTTGCCAGAGCACTGCGGAGAGTGTCAGATGGAAGCACTTTTTCACTACTACACTGAAACTGGTTAAAGATTCCCTGTAGGGAAGAGGTTAGACAAGAGAAAAAGAAAAGAAAAAAAAAAGCACAATGCTGTTATTAAACTTCTACACATCCCAGTCTGCCATGTTTGCATTTCTATGTTGATAGCTATGGAAGTAAATTTATTTCTCATGGTTAAAATGCACACACTTAGTAATTTTAAAATAAAGAAATAAAAGCCAGAATGAAGGACATGCTCTGCAATAGATCCTGCATCTAAGTATGATGCTGTCAAGAACACACTAGGGCCCACTGTCATTAATGAATCTAATGCAGTTACTTTATTTCATTTAAGTCAGAGAAAAAAATAGATATTTAGGTCAAAAGAAGTTACATGTAAATGGATTGGCAAATTATTCTGGGAAGGATCAGCTTACAAAAATTGGCCCTCTTTAAAAAAATTTTTAGGTAACAGAAAAATTTCAGAGTATAAATAAGAATATAATAATCTAGGCATAATGCTACTTGTCAAGAGGGAGTGAGGAAGGAGGTTTGAAAGTTCAGAACCAGTCTGAGTTATGCAGTATTAAAGATCAACCTATACAAATAGTACAGACCATGTTTCCGTTATTTTTGTTGTTGTTTAAAAAAAAAAAAGGCTGGGGCTGGGAAGGTGGCTCAGTGGTAGAGCACTTGCCTTGCATGCTCGAGGCCCTGGGTTTGATTCCTCAGCACCACATAAGAAAAAAGCCTGAAGTGGCGCTGTGGCTCAAGTGGTAGAGTGCTAGCCTTGAGCTGAAGAGCTGAGGGACAGTGCCCAGGCCCAGAGTTCAGGTCCCATGACCGGACCCAAAAAAAAAAAAGGCTACTCAATCTGCAGCAGAACCTGGTAGTCTCTCCACAGTAGTTAAAACTCCTACTAAATTTTGCTTATTGGGAAAACTTGAAGGACCAAAAAAGAAAAAAGGCAATGGTGGGTATGACTGATTAACTGGGGTCTTACAGATAATCGATTAAGACAGATGATGAAGAAAGGACATTTATAAGGTGAACAACCATGATATTGGGCCAGCAAGGAAAAATGATGAAAACAGAATACGTAGCCTCAAAGCAGAATGTGGACCAAAATACTCAGAAGTAAAAGTTACATTTGTTACAAAATTAAGATGACTAGAATAAGTAATTCTAGTAGAATGAAGGATACACAAAGCATACCAGTGTTAGCAAAATGACAAAATTCATATATCAGTAAAAAGTACTATAAGAGTTAAGAATGAGCCACATGCTAGTGGCTCATGCCTGTAATCCTAGCTACCTGTAATGCTTGTAATCAGCCAGCTGAGATATGAGGATCCTGCCTGAAAGCTAGCTCAGGCAGCAAAGTCTGTGAGACTCATATTCCTAATTAACTAGCAAAGCCAGAAGTAGAGGTGTGGCTCAAATGGTAAAGTGCCAGCCTTGTGTGAAAATGCCAAGTGAGAGCATTGAGACTGCCCCGAGTTCAAGCCCTGGCATAAACACAAGTGCAAGCGCGCGCGTGCTCGCTCGCACACACACACACACACACACACACACACTCAGAGCTGGGCTGGGAATGTGGCTTAGTTGTAAAGTGCTTGCCTAGCATGCATAAAGCCCAGGGTTCAATTCCTCAGTACCACATAAACAGAAAAAGATGGAAAGGATGCCGTAGCTCAAGTGGTAGAATTCTAGCCTTGAGCAAAAGCAGCTCAGGAACAGTCGCCAGGCCCTGAGTTCAAGCCCCAAGTCTGGCAAAAAAAAAAAAAAAAGAGCTAAGATGTCTACATCTGCCTACTAGACTATTCCTGATTTACCATACCTGCCATACTGGCCTCTTGCTAGGCCCCACACCCAACATGCATGATCTAGACTCTCAGAGAACTTGCACATGGATTTCTCTGTCTGGATCACTCTTTTTCTAGGTATCTGTGTGGCTCAGTCACTAATATACTGTAGGCATTTATACAAAAATAATCTCAAAAAAGTGTTTCTTAATCTATTTACTTAAAATTGCAAGCTCTACCCTCCCTATCTCTAAACCTCACCTTTATTTTTCTCTATGGCACATACTGCTGTCATTCTATATATTTTAAGTATTATCTGATTTCATTCTTTACAGTGTAAGAATAAAATCATAAAATTTAGCTAGGCGCTGGTGGTTCATGCCTGTAACCTTAGTTAGGAGGCTGAGATCTGAGGATCACAGTTCAAAGCCAACCTGGGCAGGAACATCCATGCGACTCTTTTTTTTTGCCAGTCCTGGGGCTTGAACTTAGGGCTTTGGCACTGTCCCTGAGCTGAGCCACAGCACCATTTCTGGCTTTTTCTATTTATGTGGTTCTGAGGAATCAAACTCAGGGCTTTATGCATGCTAGACAAGCACTATCCCACCAAGCCATATTCTCAGCGCCTCCTCCCCCCCCCCTCCCCACCCCCCCCTCCCCCCCCCCCCCGCCATGAGACTTTTTTTTTTGGGGGGGGTCCAGTCGTGAGGCCTGAACTCTGGGCCTGGGAACTATCCCTCAGCTCTTCAGCTCAAGGCTAGTGCTCTACCACTTAAGCTACAGCACCACTTCCGGCTTTTTTCTTTTTGCTTATGTGGTGCTGAGGAATCGAACCCAGGGCCTCAGGCATGCAAGGCAAGCGCTCTACCACTGAGCCACCTTCCCAGCCCCCACCATGAGATTCTTATCTCCAATTAACCACCAGAAAACCCAGAAGTGGCACTGTGGCTCAAGTGGTAGAGTGCTGGCCTTGAGCAAAAAGGAACTTGGGGACAATGTCCCTAGCCCAGAGTTCAAGCTCCAAGACTGGCAAAAAAAAAAGTATGCAGCAGGAAAAAGATGTGCCTAAAGTATAATTCACCAAGGCCAAGCCACCTGGCCAAAGCAGGAACTTATCAGAAAAAAAAGATTCTCATGGGACTGGGAAGGTGGCTCAGTGGTAGAGCGCTTGCCTTGCATGCCTGAGGCCCTGGGTTCGATTCCTCAGCACCACGTAAGAAAAAAGCCAGAAGTGGCGCTGTAGCTCAAGTGGTAGAGCGCTAGCCTTGAGCTGAAGAGCTGAGGGACAGCACCCAGGCCCAGAGTTCAGGCCCCATGACCGGACCCCCCAAAAAAAGAAATTGGGTGCAATGGTGCATGTCTATAATCCCAGCAGTTGAGGTTGAGGCAGGAAGATTTCAAGTCCAAGGCCAGTCTGGACTGCAAAGCAAAACCCTCTCTCCCCACACGACTCCACCCTCAAAAAAGAGCTGTTTCCAAAAAGATGATGAGCTGTTCCCCAACAAGTGAGATCTGGGAGAGAACAGATGGGCTGTGTCTGGAGGTTGAAGGAAAGATAGTCAGTAGAACATAAGATAGCATTGATAATTCCCTCATAGGTGGAAAATGCCTCCTGCTCAAAACCTTGAGCAGTAATCACTTGTGTTTATACTGTCATGAACCATCACTTACAGGAAACCAGCTTTACAAAAGAAGCCTTGAAGTACATCAAAGATTAATCACACAAAGGAAAACTTGAAAAACAGAGACCAAAAAGAGTAAAACCTTTTATGATAGGCTAACAAAACAAATTAAGCACATCCTTGTTAATTTCAATAACTAAGTTTTTTTGGTAAAACATGAACCCACACAGTATGGTTGTTTTCTGGACTACCTTGAGTATGATGTTACATGTATGTATGTATGTATGTATGTATGTAACATCATATTTTTTTTCTGGCCTTGAGCTTGCTAGGAAGTCACTCTACCAATGGAGCCAAGCATATAGACCTCTATAACATAAAAGGATCATTTTTTAGGTAGAAGCTAACTTATGCCTGGGTCAGCTTGGGTGTTGTTCTTCCTCCTTGTGCTTCCCTGTGTTGTTGGGGATGAAAGATGCATACCCCCTTCACCTGGCCATCAGCTGAGATGAAATCTTGTAAACTTGTATGTCTGAACTGGCCTTGGATTGCATAATCCCACATTCAGCTTCCCATCTTTGAGTTCATCATGTAATGATTTTCCAGATTGGATTTTTCACTACTGCTAATACATTGCCACCAACCAGGAATACAGGTTTGCCTCTGACTTTAACAACAACAAAAAAGTAGTCATTTGTCCATTTCTCTTGGGAAGATCCACATTCTCTATCAACTTTGCTTTGTAGTCATCATTTATAGGATATGACACCACTTAGTTTTTAATAACTTATCCACTGAGGGGTGGGGTGCATGCATATGTGTGCCAGTGCTTTTATTGCTGTTCTAATCCTGCGTCTTAGATTTGGAGCATATCCAATGTTCATATTATCACCTCATGATGTCTTTTCTGTGTTCTGTAATTTCCTTAATCTTCATCTGAGATTTAGTTTTTGTGAGGATTGTTCTTTGTAAATATGTGGATAAAGGTTGAAGTTATTGTCTGTGTCAGCAAAGAATATTGCCAATGTCTCAAGGAATTGTCTCATCACATCTTGTCTCATCATCACCAGCTTTATCATCAAGGTTTTGCCCCAGTATATAGACACTTTCAAAATGTATACTCCCAGACCTCCTGGCACTGACTATTCTGAGTCATCACAATACAGGCAGAAGGCTATGGGTAGCCAAAGAGAATGACATGTAACTATCCTGCCATGCATTTCTATTTGTCCTTCATGATAATGGATGTTCCTTGCTTGTCTCTGAAAATTTATGGCATAATTACAAATAATTTAATATAAACATGCTGCTCTTAGATTTATTAATTTCAAGTCTTGCCTGCAAGTGCCTTGATAAGGCAAGACTAGATGATTTTGCAGACCTTTCTTTGGCCTGAGAGCTGGTTGTTCCTAACCTCTGCTCAAGATACTAGTGAGCATCTTTCCTCCCCATACACATTCAATATCCATTCCTACAGTAACTTAAGAACAGATTTGGGTAACTTACTATTATTTCCTTACAAATGATTCTATATGAAATGAAGAAGGCAGTGGTACCAATATATATTCAGTATTATTTAATAAGCTATGGAGGAAATCTACCACAATCACTCCAAGTTATTTTGGAACAA